CGAGCCATCCCCTCAGACACCCACACTTGAGGAGAATCTCCAGCCGGCTGGGGTTTGGCTTTTGGTAAGTTGATCTTCCTCAGCTGTGATGGAATCCAACTTTTGGTGCTGAAAGAGCTGGGGTAGAAACTCCAGTCCTCTCTGGAATTCTGGCTCTGAACACTCCGGACTTTCTGTTTACCCCTCAGACAGAGGCATTGCTCCACATTCTGAGGGGCCCTGCCAGAGTTTTCCTGAGCTTGGAGATTTCTTCTGTTTTTGGCTTCCAACTCCATGTTCCCCAGGGACACTCAAAATTATAGTTCTTGAAAAGTAGTTTCTTTCCGTTAAAAAGTAAGGCCCTTCCAATTATTTTGTATCAAAGTGGACAGAATTGTTGGTATTTCTTGGATGAAAAAATTAATGTCAAAAGTTCAAAGTTACTCCTTATGAAAAATACTGATTTCCTTTTTCCTGAGCTGGATACACACACACACACACACACTAATGCTAAACACACACACACATTAATGCTATGCTGAATTTTGAGAGCAACCACCATGGTCCAATCTGTATGTCTATAGATGTACCCAGGCCTAGAAATCTATGCTCGGAGAAATCAGTAATTCTCTTATAACTCATCTCTATGCTTGAATCAGGAATGGAAGATTAAAGATTGGTGTTAAAGAGTGACTGAAAGAATGGCACCCTAGGAATTTGACAGTGCTTGTGTTAAATTTTAAGCGTGAACTTGGAAGCAAATTAAATCAATGGGATGATGTGGGCACCAGGATCTATGGACTAAAAGCGTTGTGACAAGTGAGTGCCTTCTGCAAATACCCCTCCACCCCAGCTAACACTTGCTTTGAGCAGAGACTTGGCACTCGTGGCGTTGTGAATATTTAGGTCAGCAAAACAGTGCTGCTGCCATATTTCTCTCCCTCCCCAAGAGAAGGTGTCATTTCTCAGTCTCAGGGACAGCAAATGTCTTGAGTGGCCCATGCTGTGGGAGCCGCATGGGAGTTTTCGGTGCTACCTTACTGGCTTGTGTGGGAAAGCATATACCCCCAGTTGCTTACCTCCTTGCTGTCCTACACCTTGTCTGACTACTCGGTGGTTTCTAATGTCATTAGGGCTCAACCTTCATTTTATCTGTAATTGGATGAACTTAAGGATGCGAGCCTTTTCCTTCTGCTTAAACAAGAAGCTCTTCTTCCTGAATGTGGCATGGGGGTGGTGTGTCTGCTTGCCTGGCTGGTGTTTCAAATGTTCTTGAACTGTTGTCTTCTTGAACTGGAGCCGCAGACAGGTACCCTTCATAGCTCCCTTACTCATGTCTGTCTACAGGGAGACCTTGTCTGCCCCTTCCTTACTGGGGCTCTTCACCCAGAAGGATTCAGCCTTCTTCCAGTCATAAGAACTGGGTCTTCACCTACTCTTGCAGTACAGCAGGAGTTTTCTGAAGGTGCTGCAGGTGACTCTGCCTAGAACATTTTGGAAACAGTAACCTAACTTGCCACAGGACCTCTGGAACAGAGCCTGATGTGGAATTTGCTTTAGATTCGTATTGTGGAAGCTGCGACCATATCACCCAGTTTTCAGTGAGGTTCAGGACTCCATCTGGCTTGTGGTACTTACCCATCGTACCCAACTCCCTGTTACAGCTTACACTGTACACGCTGCACTAGGCCCTCTGATCAAGGGGCTTGGCCAATGTAGAAGGAAGAGAAATGTGTGGTCAGCCCCGTCCCTGCTCCATCTAGGTTAGTGGGCTTTGCTCAGGGTCCCAGCTTCCTCTGAGTCTGAGGCTTCTGACTCCATCCCTCTGTCTTTAGGATTCCTCAGCTCTCTTTTCACACCTCTGCAAACAACTGCCCACTGAACCTTTGTTCACTGCTGTGCCATTTCTCCATTTTTTGTCTGATGGTCATAGAAATACCTTGACAGCATTATCAGTCCTTCAGTGGCACCCTCAGCCCCAAGCAGATATTGGAACTGTGCTTTGAAAAATGTCTCAAATGCCTTAAGGGAAGTTGTAACTAAACGCCTCAGGTAACCTCTCTACCTAACCAATGTGCACAAATCCATTGCTTTACTATACACCAACAACAAATACACAGATAAGGAGACACACTTGTATTCACAGTAGCCTCAAAGAAAATAGAATACCTAGGAAAAAGCCTAACCAAGGGAGTGAAGGACATTTACAACAAAAACTTTGAACCACCAAGGAAGGAGATAAAGGTACAGAAAACCAGAAAGATGTCCCATGCTCATGCATTGGTAGAGTTAATACCACAAAAATGACCATCTACCAAAAGCTGTTTACATATTCAATGCATTCCCAACTAAAATCTCCAACTGATTCTCCACAGAAATAGAACAACCTATCCTAAAATTCGTATGGAGCCACAAAAAGCCAGGATAGCCAAAACAAGCTTGAGAAGAAAGAACAATGTGGGAGGGATTACTATTCCAGATGTTGAGATATATTACATATTACAGAGCCATAGCAATAAAAACAATATGGTACCAGCACAGAGACATGTAGACCAATAGAACAAGATCAAAGATCTGATCATGAACACATGTAACTTCGGTCATTTACTATTTGACAAAAAGGCAAGCTGGAGAAAAGAAATCATCTTCAACAAATGATTCTGGGAAAGCTGGATAGCCCCATGCAGAAAGTTCAAATTAGGCCTGTATCTATGACTTTGCACATAAACTAACTCCAAATAGATCAAAGACCTAAGTTTGAAACTTGAAACACTGAAACTGCTAGAAGAAAACATAGACAATACCTATATGATATAGATGCGGGAAAGGACCTTTTGGATAGGATTGCATTCGCCCAAGAATTCAGGCCAGCAAATGACAAGCAGGACTTCATCAAATTAAAACGCTTCTGCACTGCTACAGAAACAGTCAGCCAGAAGAGAAGAACTCTACTGAATGGAAGATCTTTGCCACTTACTCAGCTGACAAAGGATTGATATCCAGATCACAAAGACCTCAAGACAAATGATGATGATAATACCAACCAATAAAAGGTGGCTCGAGACCTATGAACACAGTTCCCCAAATAAGAAAAAAATGGCCAAGAAATATCTCGAAAATAGTTTAGTCCCTAGAAATTAGAAAAATGGTAATCAAAAATATATTAAGATTTCCTGAGAATGGCAAAAATTGACAAATGCTGGAGGGGATGTGGGAAAAAGGAAACCCTCATTCTCTGTTGTGGGATTGGAAACTGGTACAGCCACTCTGGAAATCAGTGTGGAGCATTCTCAGTAAAGCTACAAATAAATGGACCATATGACCAAGCTACACCACCCCGTAGTGTGTGTCTTAGTTAGGGTTTTGCTGCTGTGAACAGACACTATGACCAAGGTAACTCTTATAAAGGGCAACATGTAATTGGGGCTGGCTTACAGGTTCAGAGGTTCAGTCCATTATCATCAGGGCGGGAACATGGCAGTATCCAGGCAGGCATGATGCAGGAGGAGCTGAGAGTTCTACATTTTCATCTGAAGGCTGCTAACAGAATACTGACTTCCAGGTAGCTAGGATGAGTGTCTTAAAGCCCACACCACAGTGACACACCCACTCCAACAAGGCCACACCTACTCCAACAAGGCCACATCTACTTCAACAGAGCTACACCTTCTAACAGTGCCACTCCCTGGGCCAAGCATATACAAACCATCACAATGTGTATATGAAAGATTTAACATTTAGAACACAGGTACTTTCTCGGTCATATTCAATGCTCCTATGTTCACAACAGCAAGGAAATAGGAACAACCTAAATCCCATAGGCTAAGAAATGGATAGTGAAAATGGGGCACATATACACTGTGGAATACTACTCGTCTGGTTAGGGGCAGGGAGACCTCACTTGTGCTGCTCATGATCCCAGGGCCAGCTCTCTTGACTGACTCAGTTGGTGAGGGATGATGGGACAGAGGGCAAACTTACCTCCACCCCTCCTCCAGCCACCTCATAGCAGATGAGTGGTGGGGCCATCTCTTCTCTGCTCACACCCTCAAGGCTGCTTCACCTGCACCCCCACTACCAGGGTCAGCTGTGCTGTCCGGGCGAGGTTCAGGACTCACTCTCCTGAGAGTGCTGCAGCTGGTGAGGGGTAGGGCTAGCTTTCCCATGTTCATGATCTGGTGGGAAGCTTTCCTGACTGCTGGAGGGGAGGAAGCAGGGCATCACTCTGCTCTTGTGCCACTACAAGGCAGAGGGATGGCAGAATCAGCTCTCAGACACTCGTGTTCTTGGAACCAGCTCACTCTGCTATCTGGACAAGGCTCAGGGTCAGCTATGCCACATTCTGTCACAGATGAGTGGTGGGGAGAGCTTTCCAGAGCATCATAGCCAGTGAGGGTGGGACCAGTTCTGTACAGCTCCTGGACAACCATTTGGTCCCTGGTGGCTGCCCTGACCAGGGATGTCCTCATGTTCTCCAGTGGTAATACAAGCCATGAACATAACACCGACCCCTGCCACTGAGGAGCTATGGATCCAGTCATGGAAGCTTGGACTAGGACCTCACCATCTTCCAGGTGACAGGGCTAGCATCTCACAACAGGCTACTCCTCTCCACCCTCAAGTCTCTCTTCATAATGTCCAAGCTGCTCCATTTGTCAACCCTTTGACCACCTCATACTGGGCACATTGTAGTGGCTTGTTCCTACTGCAGGCTGTCTACATGGCTGGTGAGCCCTGGGTGACATTCTCTGTGCTGGTGGAAGGACATGGCACTGAGAAGGTGCCTACAGCCCACCTGTGCTGTGCACTGGAGGGAAGGTCTGTGGTCCACAGGTCTCTATCTTCTTCCTCTCTCATTGTGCTGCATGGTGGTAGGTGGGCTCCGTGTGTCTATGGTCCTTCCATGCAGTGAGGTAGAGGGCAGGTTCGTGTGTCTTTCCCTGCCAGCACCACTTGGCATGGCGGAATGCAGGTCCTTGTCTGTCTTCCTCCTCTGGTGCTGCCTGGATTTGACTTGATTTTTATGTGTCCTAGGCATAAGACAGCTTTGTCCACCAAGCCAGACATCAAGCTAGGATGAACAAAGGACTGACATCTTCTCTGCCTCTGACTGATATAAGAGCACCACCACCACCCACAGGGTGTCTCTTTGCTCATTGTCAGGGGGGGATATAAATATATTTTTTAAACTTAAGTTTCTCATAATTGAGATCATTTTTTTTTTCAAAGTACCTACCAAGTTACCATTTGATCATATCCTGTGATATGAACTCAAGGGGTGTGTTTTCACTTCCGCTGGCTCACAGACAAAATGCATTCTGCAGATGTATGCACTGCATGGGGTTTTGGTAAAAAACAAAACCAGAAAAACAAACAAGGACTCCCATCCCCCCCCCCCCCCGACCCAGCCACCAAAACAGAACCCTGCAAACCCAGGGTGCTTTAGCTTGGCCATAGGGCACAAGGCAGTGCCTTATCTCCTCACCTGGAGACATTTCTAGATTTGTGCAACCGACTTCTTCTTTGAAGACAAGAGAGACCTCTCAGACAGGTGCCAGCCTCGTGGCTGTATCATGGTGGGATGCTGTGAACAGGAAGGGTGCTAATGGTATATGTATGTGGTGAGAAAGACTAGCTCCCATCTTTAGATTTCCAGGCACAACATCTGGGGGCTTGGCAATGCTGTGACTCTGTGGACTGATGAAGGTAATGAACATCAACTGAAAGAACACAGCTTTGTGTTTTCCACAGCAGACCGGAAACTTAGAGGTTTAAGTCAAAGTTGGATCATGAATCAAATACTTTTCAATTCAAGACCCTTGCAGTGCGTGTGTGTGTGTGTGTGTGTGTGTGTGTGTGTGTAGGAGAGACACAGAGACAGAGAGACTAGTGAGAGACAGACAGAGAGAAAAACACTGTAAATGCTTGATTGTTTCTGACCTTTTGGTCCTTTTTCCGTTAAAACCGCTCCCAGAATGTCCAAGGCTGAGTCTCACGTTACACCGGAAGTGAAGTTAGCATCGGAGTTGTGGATCTTGGAACACATTTCTTAGAGTCATTTAAGAAGGCTCTGAAGAGTCAGGTCTGTGTGCAGTCTAGAAAACCAAATCTCCCAATATTGACTTACTAGAAAATGATCGCTTCTTAACTAAACTATTCAGTTTCACATCAAAAAGGAAATCCTCCACATAAACATCAGTTGGGGCCCAGAATCAATTTTCAAAACTAGGAGATTCTTTTTTTATTTCCTAAAAGATACTATTTGAAGAGGACAAAGGTCAAGTCTTTCATGTGTGTCATGTGACTGACTACCTCAAAGACTGATCCTGGAGCCGCCTTTTGTCTATGAACATATGTGTCTCCCCAAGAGCTAGGGGAAAAAAAAATCCCTGCTTAGTGACCTAGGTTCATCTTTTGTTTGAGAGCTCCAAGGATCTCTAGAGAAGAGGCTTGTGGGATATAAAATAAGAGAATAATGACACCTTCCCCGCCCCTTCATGTTCTTTGTTCCTCACTCTTTGTTAAAGTTCCCTCCCAAACATACATACTTACTTTAATAGACAAAACTATATTTAACATACTGTATGAATTTTATGAGCATGAAGACTTGTTGAGTGATTTGGGGTTGTTAAACAACAAGTACCTATATGCAAATGAAATCTTATGCTGTGTTTGCAGAACAATGATGACCTTGGACTAACCATGGCACTGTCCCCCCATCTCAGAGTTTCATTGGAATGTTGAGAGAGGTGGCAGAGTTATATACAATCTTGCTTTCATCCTCATCAGATTTCCTGAAACAATGTCATATTTTCCTTTTTATGTCAAGCTATAATGTGGCTAGAATACCCTCCAAAGGTCCTTGTGTTAAAGGTCTATTCCTCAGAGTGGCATCCTTGGGAAATGATGGATCTTTTAGAAGGCGGAGTCAGTGGAGGTCACTGGAGACACACCCTTGAAGAGGGGAATGAATGACCTTGGTACCTTCCCTTCCCTTTTTGTTCTTTGGTCACAGGATGAATGCTTTTGCTTAATGCTATGCTTTTTCCAGGAGATGCTGCCTCAACGCAAGCTGGAGAACAAAGGAGCCAACCAGCCATGGAGTGCCACAACTCAGCCAAAATAAGCCTTTCCATGTATAAGTAGATTTTCTCAAATATTTATTAATATAATAGGTAAGTTGAAAATATTAAGAAATAATAAATATTTTCTCAAATATTTATTAATATAATAGGTAAGTTGAGGCTCAGAGGATTTGATAGACTGTCCACAGGTGAACATCCATGCAGGGGCTAGAACTCTCACCAAGCTTCCTCATGCCCAATACAGCTTTTGTAGTGTTTCTGTGGTTGTTAGGAAAAATGAGTTTTCAGGGGAAGCTGAAGCTTCTAGACTAATAAACAGGGTGTGCCTGGATGAATACCCTGCTGGATATTGGGTTTTTACTCCAAAGACTGGTATTGACTACATACTAGTTGCCATTCATTTTCAACACACAGCTCAGATTTTTCTAGCAAACGCAATTACCTAACTGGAAGGGTCAAACAGTCACTCAGGGCATTTTTCCTATTACAACTTCAAAAAGAATAAAGAGTTCTTTGTGTTCAGCAAAGATATCTTCAAGAAAGAGGTAGATGGGGAAACATGACCTCTGTGTAAAATTAGTTATTTTTTAAGGAAGAAAATGTTTTCTATTTTGTCTTTTTCTCTTTAACAGTTTATATTATATACAGTGTTCTAAGTACAAATGGTAAAAGTTTATTGAATAATTTGATTGAGGATGCAAATAATTTTTAAAGCCCCTATGGATAATGAGAATAAATTATCCTGTACAGTATATGTATTCATTTCTTAGTGTAATAATTTAAAGCTGTTATGACACAGAACAGGCTTTTACTTTAACATATTTGTGTAGTGACATTTGAGAAGCAGAGAACAAGTAGTTATCTTTACTGACTTCCGTATCAGAGATGAAAATATTTTTTAATTGAATATTTTATTTATTTACATTTCAAATGTTATCCTCTTTCCCAGTTTCCCCTCTACAAACCCCTATTCCATTCCCCCTTACCCTGCTTCTATGAGGGTGCTCCCCACCCACTCACCCACCCACTCCAGCCTCACCACCCTAGCATTCCTCTACACTGTGGCATCAAGCCTTCACAGGACTAAGAGCCCTCCCTCCCACTGATGCTAGATAAGGCCCCTTCAGCTCCCTCAGTCCTTCTCCTAACTACTCCATTGGGGTCCCTGTGCTCAGTCCGATGGTTGGCTGCAAGAATCCACCTCTGTATTGGTCAAGATCTGGCAGAGCCTCTCAGGAGATAGCTGTATCAGGCTCCTGTCAGCAAGTGCTTCTTGGCAAGAGATGAAAATGTTTTTGAAGAGTTACCAGCAGGTAAGGGCAGCTGTTGGAGTGCTGTGTCTGCAGACCACCTCAGCCACAGGCAGCACAGCTCCCTAGAGGTGGGCCCCTAAGCATCCACCTCAGACATAGATGGAATATTGGACTCCTGTGTTCCACAATAGACCCATAGAGTCAGAATTTGGGGTTGTTTGGGCTAGAATGTGCACAGTGAATGAGCATCCTAGAGGGTTGCCCGACTCTCAAAGCTAGAGGCAAAGAGAGGCATAGAAGTGATCCAAAGTTACACATAAGAATATAAGTGGAATTAAATGATTACTGAAAAGAAGAGTGGATCAAACAATAGATTCTATCTCAAAGCCTTAGAAGAGAAATTTCTCCAAATTTAGAACATGGAAATTTGTTTTTTCTGTCATTTCAATAATCTTGAAGCTGATGGCTCTTGCAACACATATGTAAAGTGAGCTAAAGTGAGTCAGGGCAGTATACAATATACAAATTGTATATCAATATCACTCTTAAAGACTTATGATTAATAAATAAAATGTCAAGACCTGGAATAGGACAGCACAACAGAGGAACATATAAGGTAGCAGTGGATACAGCCATGGAGAAAAGAATTCACAGTCCACAGGGAAGAAGGAAGAAAAGAGGCCATGCTGCTGACAGAGGGAGAAGGTCTCTCCAGAGAAGCCAAAGCTATGTAACCTCTCAGTAAACTTCTGATAAACAAAGAAAGGCAAGACAGTCTTCAGCATTTTACCACCTGTGTAATCATAGACTATGTTCTCCTGACAGAAAACACTCCAAAGGCTATATTGGGATGAGAAAACCTGGGGAAAATTCTAGCTCTTACCTAGAGGTTTATGTAGTTTGACTCAGGCAACAAGTATCTTGGGATGCTGGAAACAGCAGGTAAGATTTAGATGAGAAAAAGATTCTGTAGTTTCTCTATTCATCTACCCCATAGGCTGCTAATTAATTATGAAGGAGATCATTTAACCTGCCTAACTTCCTGGACTTGAAGTTTATATAAACCTGTGTATTCTTTCTTTGTTTTCCCTAGACTTTATCAAATATCTGATGCAAGGCACTTCATACAGGAAAAAAAAGTTTGTATAGCTTTAACTGTAGCTTTTAGAGATTGATGGTTCAAAGTTGGTGAGCCCCATCGTTTGGCTTTGATGAATAACATTAGGACATCAGGGAGTGAGAGGGAGAGCTAGTATGTCAAGACAGGACGTCAGAAGGGGTGGGGGGGCAGATCCTAGAACAGAAAATAAGCTAATTACGATCTTTAAACAGAAACGCTATCATTTTACTCATTGACAGTATCTACTGAAAATGATTAAAATGAAGAACATGATAATATTATAGTAAAGAACATAAATGAAATTTGCATTATTTGAGTGGCACACTCATTTGTCAAGGAGGTAGGTAATTTTACAGAAAGGCATCATTCATGAGATTAATACATTCTGGAGGATACTTAAATCCTGTTTTGAATGTTGTGATAACTAGTCAAGTTACAGCCCCCTCTCCCCACAGGAGAATCTAAAAGTTAAGAAAATAAAATATAAACAGGAAAGCAAGCACCAGAACAGCATTGGGTGCAATAAAAGAAAAACAGGAAAGTGAGCACCAGAACAGCATTGGGTACATTTGCAAAGCACTAACATTACAGTGGTGTGGATCTGTAAAACACTAGGCATCGTACATGATAGAACAGACGGTCCACCACAAAGCTAAGGTGTACTCAGCATTAGTTCATTAACTAAGTTACTGAAGCTACGTATAGCACAA